AAAAACTGATTAAGAAAAAACAGGAAGTTTTAGGCAAAATCGGTTTTTGACATAAGCGAATTGGTTTTTGGTGTTACTCCAAAAAAAATTACTGTAGATAAATGACATTTTAACTGAATGTTTATATTAGAATTTTCTGTACACCATAACATTGACTCGTGCTAAGCTATTTACATAGTTTTATACTTCCATCAAGCCCATGCTTATATAATTAGTACCCACAATAATACATTTTTTTTTCAAATAAAATTTGTATAAAACTGTAGGTAGGTACATCGCAAAGTTGAAAGTGGCAAACAGCGGGGCATCATCAGGGCAGAGGACTTGTAGCTCTAAACAATCGCCAAATATGCACTAAAATGTAAAAAATATGCATTTTAAAGTTATTATGCATTTTATAATGCATTATAAATATTCATTAAAAAAATAAGATTATATGTATGAATATATTTTATTTAAATTTTGATGTCTGCGACCGACAACCCCGTGGCCCGTTTTGATAATATCTTATGCAGTGAACAATATCTGTACATAAATAAAATTAATAACCGGAAAATAAATCTAATTGGCAATCCTCGAGAAGTGTCTCTATATAAGAAAAACATGCGTGTGGGAACACTGGAACAGTCATCAACTACCATATTAATAATATGATCAAAATTTAAAATCAGTTTAAATTCAACATTATTTTGGTTATATATTAAATATTTAAATTAAATAACGAAAACTTCCTTAGTTATTCTTCTTTACATACTAAGGAATAAGGAATATATTATACAGTAATATACAGTGGAACCTCTAAATACTACCTAAATACTTTGTGATTTGTGAATGTATACGAGCTCGATAATTATAATTCGGTTAGGTAGTAATTATTGACGAATATCTTATATTGCATACCGAATTATAATTATCGAGCTCATATCTATTTTGCAGAGAATTTTTGTATAATAGTCTATATATTATCATTATTCCTTAGTTGGTATGTAAAGAAGAATAACTAAGGAAGTTTTCGTTCATATTTCGATTACAGTACGTCAACATTTTCAGAAAAATTATCTGAATCACATTTTGCTTTATAACATATAGGTTGTCTTTTGAAAAACAAAAGTTGGTATCACCACAGGATAATCCTTAAATGTTGTGAAAAATCAAAGTACATGGAAATATCGTTTTTAACTATACTTAAAAATTTCAAAAATCAGAATTTGAATATATATATAATTTAAGCACAAAAATGGGGCGAGCTTGCTTAAAAAATCACCCTGTATAGTACGACATGAAAGAATATGCAAGTACAATTAAAAAATTCGATGATATTATAGTGATGGAAATAAAAAAATATTTTATTAAAAATGTTACAGTACTGTAGAATTTATACTTCAGAAATTGTAACTCAGTATTAATATTGAATAGTGTATATAGATGATAGTTCCATTAACAAAAAATAAAAAAAACAATAGAATATACATTTTAAATATAGAGTAAGACGTTTCAAAGCACTGTGCGGCAGGTTTAGTACAGCTGGTAGGTACACGAAGCTTGTAAATACGCGACTTAACGATTAAATGAAACATGTCTCAAGCTTATCAATGGCTTTATTATTATTATTTTAAGTTTAGTCATTCCATTAGTTAACGTCTTTGTCTGTTGTGTTATTGCGCGAGTTGGGACTGCGCCTTGTGATGTAGGTATACTTATTAGTAACATTTTTTTAGAGTGCTTCTACCCATATAGTTTACCCATTCTTGGTATTTTAACTATCGTTTTGTATAGGCAACAATATTTTTGCTGATGTGGTAACCTAGTTATGTTTTAAGTAAATAATTTCTGTACAATATATCCATAACCAGATGCAAACCAAAATTATATTTTTTTTATGCTGGGAACATGCATTACGTGCTATGCGCATCGACTATATAGTAAAGTTGAGTAATTTTTCAAAAAAGTCAGTCAAAGTGAAAAAAATTGAAACTTTTCTTTTAGGGAGTCGAAAAAATTAAAAAATTAAAAACTTGTAGCTATATTTTTAATTATTATTAAGTATTTTAACTTCGAGTGCATTGCATTAAAAATTTAAAAAAATTATTTTAACTAAAAATGTTTTAAAAAAAAGTAAGTATTTCGATAAAATAACTATATTATTTTAAAAACAATGTACGGGCAACGATATAATTCACGTTAACTTGTGAATAGGAACCTAGAATTTCCTATTAAGGTTTGATGGTAGGATGCATGTTTATATCGTAATTAGCGATTTACTAAAAAAAAGCAGGTAAGTGGATGTCGCTCTGCTGTACAGTAAATTACAAGCGTAAACTGTAATGGATGTGAAATTTAAATTCAATAATATAAAATCATCGTATACGAAAAACGATTCTGAGCGAAGCCTTTATTATTTAGTATTTTGGTATACTTGATGAATATTATATTATGGTGTTAAAAGTAATTTATTTTACTATTAAGCACTAGTACTAAAGCAGGTTAAATTAATTGTTGCCAAAAGAATTACACTTGAAAAGTCAATGTGTGTATAATTGTATATTTGTATAAAATATAATGATAATATACTCTAAAAGTTTCAAGTAGGTATCTATAAATAGTATTTTTAAATTGCAACAAAATAACTTATCCTTAGCTATAAAACTTGAACATTTTATGAATATTTAACTACAAAATAATTTGTAAACGTTGTCAAAATTTGAACTTTAAATACTTATATAACTAAATTTTGCTTATGTATTTTTTTTATTTTTCAACTAACAATATATGGGAAGCCTTATATTAAATTTACAAGGTTTTTGACTCAACAAATAAAATTTTATTGATATTTATTGAAAAAAAAACTTAGCAAATTTAAAATTGAAAATGTCCGTAAACAGCTTAAAACGAGTCAAAATATTTTGATAATGTTATCAAGTAAGATGAACATATGGTGTAAATTTCAAGTATCTACAATTATTGGTTTTTGAATTATAACAAAATAAGAAAATAGCTACACGAGAAGTCGAGTGACTTTGAATTAAATTTTTAAATCTTATATTTAAAAATAAAAGTTTTATACATTTTTAACTATAATTTCTAAAATTTGGTTCTTAGAAATCTATTCCTGTAATCCTGTGGATATGTACCTCGGTGCTATTTTTCAAAAGTTTAAATTTTAAAAAGGGCTCATACTGTGTTTTGTAGGCTAACAATTAACAAATATTTTTTGGTTTATATTCCATTGGTTACAAAAAATAAAATAATTTTTAGAATTGGACATGATTTATATTTGATCAAAACCACTCAAAAAACTGTGCTGTAAAAATATGTAGTTTACATTTGATAGAGTTCAGGATAGGGATTGAGATTAACCCTAAGCACTATTCAACTTGAACTGACTTTATATATATCTAAATATGTAATTTGAATTTTAAGAATTTATAATTTAATTTATAATCAAATAATTGGGGGATATTAAGGTTAGTGTTACCTAAAATAATGTGAACCTATTCTAATATTCAAACATAAATATGACTGAAGTGTGTATTGTCCCAGTCTTATTAACATTCAACATATTAACACACTCACCGTTCTTATTTAAAACTAAAATCAATCTACCTATTATCGAGCTTAATAGTAATTATCTGGAATATATCATTTAAGCTTTTATTTATATTTAAATTTTTAATAGTTATAAGTAGGTATTTTAATATTGTCATACTTTCATAGTTTTAAACATTTAAAACTGATACATCAATTAAATCCCACACTCTTACCTTTCAATTTAATTACAATAATTCTAATATTTAAGATAAAAACACTGAACACTTCATACCAACTTCATGTCCTCATAACAATAATAGCATTTAGAATATTGTGGAAAGAAAAATTTATTTTTTGGAACGTAACCTCAATAATGTTTTTGAGTTTTAATATTAATAGGTTTAATTGGATAATGTATAATTTAAATAAGTTTGCTCACTTCTAGAACATTTCTGGAAAAGTTTTGATGGAAGGAAATAAGTATTTGTGGATAGCATTTAGTGCTGACAACATTATGGTTATAACTTAAGTTATTTTATTTTTTAAGACTACAATAAATACATGATTCCTTTTAATATTATTTATTTATATTTGATTCATTATCAACATTTACTACGTAATTATAGAATGTTTATACATTATTAAACACTATACATATATTTTTTTAATTTTATCCATTTATGCAATTTTTTTATTGACTGTTCTATGGTGTGTGCATATAGTTCCATAAACATAAATTTATGCAATAACTATTGTACTTTATTTTTCATAAAAGATGACAATGTATTATTATATATGCCTTGTTTGTCCTAACACACTTACACACTATCTTCAATCTCCACTCTTATTATATAAAATTAAAACTTCATAATTTAAAAAAAACTAATTTTAGGTAAAATTAATATAATGAATTATCTTTATGTCAAGCAACAGCACTAGAAAAAACATAAACGATTATAATAAAAGTTATTATTTTAATTGTTATAATCGTTCTTATAACAGAACTATACAATATTTTATAGAACTCGCTGAGTATACAAAATTGACAACACATTAGTTAACTTACCTACTATAATCGCATCAATATAAATGTAGACTCAAGTACTCAACCTAGAATGAGTTACTTACTTTCAACATGATCGCACACTGATCTCTTTTCTTGATAAAATCTCTTCAGATTATTCACCATATAATACAAGTATTGTGTTTATGCAATATACATAATAAATGTATTGGATATACAATTAAAATATTATTAACAAGCTTCAAAATTGTGAGTATTGTTGGCTTGATTAAAAATTCATCAATATTATTTGAAACTAATAATATTGTTTTCTACGGCCCACAATATTGATGTATAGTAAAAATTTACATCAAATTTGAAGAATTTTTCAATTCTAACAAGTTAAATAAGCACATACCTAATTTATATTAAAATGTATGAATAGTAAAAAAAGTAACATACAAACATAGACATTCTTACTTCTAGTATATTAAACATTTTTCAATAAAATCCAGGTAATGAATCGTTGTTCAGTTAACGACCAACAAGGTCTTACAACAAGTATGAATTAAAAAATAAAAACACAAAACTAAATTATTATGAACACAATTCATTTAATTATTGGCTTTGTTAAAATGGTACAAATATATTGAAAAATAACTGAGTTAATTTCTACATAAATAAATGTGATCATATTTATATAATCTGTAATGTATTTATATTATGGGAATTTATTTTTATAAAGATAGAGAAAACAACATTATTATTTATTTCTTAGTTGGGTCAGGTAATTATTTTATCTCAATACAGCTCCTCTTTCCATGTACACACTTCAGATAATCTCATAAATTGTTCAAACTAGTGGCACCTCTGATGTAATATCATAACGACAAGATTAGACGTTTTATACACGTATTTCAAGCAGTCTAACTATCTCAGCCTTGACACGAATATTTTTCCAAAACACACGTGTCAAGACTGCGGCAATTAGACATTTAGACTGCATGGAATACGTATATAAAAACAATTTCATCTAGGATTAGTAAGGCTGCTACAGGATCAGTGGAATTACATATCTGAAGTACGCACACAAAAATGTATTTGTTTAGGATTCAATTACCATGACCACATTGGATGATGAAAACAACGGATTAGTATTGTTATTGTGTGTGTTATTGGACGTTTGGCTGCTGTCTTGAATTTTCTCCTGCTCATATTCTGATTGATGTACAGAAACACTGTAAACATAAAATAAATATTATATATTATTAGTGAAACAATCGTTAAACAGTTTTGGCGAGCAACAAAAAAACGTCATAATTACAAGCACCTACAGTTATCAAGACGAAAGCGCGGAGACAGTTGATTGTTCCATTGAATCAGGAACCCAGCGGCCTGGTCGAGCACGATAGAAATGAAACTGAGTAGCGGGCATCTTAGTAAAAATAATTTAATTTAATTTGTTTATGAGTTGTAGCAGAGCCGCGTAAGGCAAACTAGTAATAACTAATAAGATAACGTCTCGAAGGACGCCTATCATTGTTTTAATAATATATTTTACGCCGTTGACGTCGTACCGTCAACATCGTAATACCATGGAAACCGCGCAGGGAGTAAACCGCGCCCACGAGTCGTAACGATTTTTGGTCGCGTCGGCTCGCGGTGTTCGCCGCCCGCCGGTACCACGGAACAGTACCGGCAACGAAAAATAAAATAAATACTAACGGTCGAACGCGGCAGACGCTATACCGACGGCGTACCAACTACCTAGAGATGTGATTGTTATAAAATTGAATTACTCGTGGCAAATTTTTGGTGCAGAAATACGCGATCGGTCCGGCGTCACGGAGTAATTACTTATTGGGGCGTTCCATTTCATCGAAATGATGTTTGGTCTCGTCACCCACGGACGTATTCGATCGTAACCGGTCACCACCACGACGGTTGGTACCACCGATCGCGTTTGGCGTCAATTCAACGGCGTCTACGTCGACGTGGCGTCGACGTGGCATCGTCGTGGCAGCCACGTACTCCTTTGCCATGGCTGATGACGACTGCGGGGCGCGGGGTAACCGGACGGCGTGATGTGCGTGCCGCGTTACGATAATTCATTTTTTCGCCGTCGCTCTCTGCTTCACTCCGGTCGTCTATCGTTTTTCAAAATTCTGTTTCTGTCGTTCGGACCGAGGCAGTTGTTGTGCAACTAATAATTGCATTACGGCTGCCTTGGTCTGGACTCGGTGTTGCCGAACGTTTTTGTTCCTGTGCAGATGCGGAGTCGAAAGTCAACGTACAGTAAGTATCGTTTCCTCTCTGTTGCATCCGTAACGATGTCGACAATACAGCAATGTTTTCAAGAAGAAATAATATTCGATACGTATCGATGGAGAACAATTGCGTACCGCCTCGACTCGGAGACTCGGAGTCCGACACGGATCGGCACGTTATTGCTTGTACATATAACGTGTAACATCTTAAACACTCATAATTGTGACCCGATACGTAACGATATACTCCAATTTCTTCCTTGAAAATCTTGCGCCCGGAATTTCAGTCATTTAGCTTTTTTTGTCTTGATAACTGTAGGTGCTTGTAATTATGACGTTTTTTTGGTGCTCGCCAAAACTGTTCAACGATTGTTTCACTATTAATATGTATATTTATTATTTGTTCGCAGTGTTTCTGTACATCAATCAAAATATGAGCAGAAGAAAATTCAAGACAGCAGCCGAACGTCCAATAACACACTCAATCTCAAATCTAATCCGTTGTTTTCATCATCCAATGTGGTCATGGTAATTGAATCCTAAACAAATACATTTTTGTGTGCGTACTTCAGATATGTAATTCCACTGATCCTGTAGCAGCCTTACTAATCCGAGATGAAATTGTTTTTATATACGTATTCCATGCAGTCTAAATGTCTAATTGCCGCAGTCTTGACACGTGTGTTTTGGAAAAATATTCGTGCCAAGGCTGAGATAGTTAGACTGCTTGAAATACGTGTATAAAACGTCTAATCTTGTCGTTATGATATTACATCAGAGGTGCCACTAGTTTGAACAATTTATGAGATTATCTGAAGTGTGTACATGGAAAAAGGAGCTGTATTGAGATAAAATAATTACCTGACCCAACTAAGAAATAAATAATAATGTTGTTTTCTCTATCTTTATAAAAATAAATTCCCATAATATAAATACATTACAGATTATATAAATATGATTAATTTTTTTATGTACTATTTAACTCTCAGTTATTTTTCAATATGTTTGTAGCATTTTAACAAAGTCAATAATAAAATGAATTGTGTTCATAATAATTTAGTTTTGGGTTTTTATTTATTAATTCATGCTTGTAGTAAAACCTTGTCCGACCTTTAACTGAATAACAATTCATTACCTGAATTTTATTGAAAAATGTTTTATATATTAAAGGTAAGAAGGTCTGTGTTTTTATGTTACTTTTTTTACTATTCATACATTTTAACATAAGTTAGGTATGTGCTTCTTTAACTTGTTGGAATTGAATAATTCATCAAATTTGATGTAAATATTTTACTATACATCAATATTGTGGCTTGTAGAAAACAATATTATTAGTTTCAAATAATATTGATGAATTTTTAATCAAGCCAACAATACTCACAATTTCGAAGCTTGTTAATAATATTTTAATTGTATATCCAATACATTTATTATATATATTGCATAAACATAGTACTTGTATTATATGGTGAATAATCTGAAGAGATTTTATCAAGAAAAGGGATCAGTGTGCGATCATGTTGAACGTTTGTAACTCATTCTAGGTTGTGTCTACATTTATATCGATGATATTGTAGTATGTAAGTTAACAAATGTGATGTCAATTTTGTGCACTCAGCAAGTTCTATAAAATATTGTAAGGTTCTGTTATAAGAACAATTATAACAATTAAAATAATAACTTTTATTATGATTGTTTATGTTTTTCTAATGTATTAGCTTGACGTAAAAATAATTCATTATATTAATTTTACCTAAAGCTAGTTTTTTTTAAATTATGGAGTTTTAATTTCATATAATAAGAGTGGTGATTAGAGATAGTGTATATGTTTCGGGACAAACAATTCATATTTAATTAAACATAAATAATAATACTTTGTCATCTCATGAAAAATGAAGTACAATAATTATTGCATAAATTTGTGTTTATAGAACTATATGCACATACCGTAAATAAAATTTTATGTTTTGATGCTGTAATTAAAAATATTTATTAAGTAAATATAAATCATTATTATTTAATACAATGTGGACATTTTAAATACAAATTATATATTGTTAAAAAAATACTATTATCTAACTATTGAGATATTCATTATTATTTATTGCAAAATAGTCCTTTTGTCAAATCTAAAGAAAAGTTATACACAAACCTGCAACCATGGTCAATCACTGCAACATATGGCTGTGGTTGTACATCTAATTCAATGCTAACACCGTAGATAATAAAGAAATTCTTTATTATCTATGACTAACACCTATTTTACATAGATATATTTTACACATAAAGTTGTCTGTAAAATTGTAAAAAAAACTATGTCATTAGTTAAATTTTCTTGTACAAAAGTTTTAAAATTTTAAAGAGTTAATTCCAAATCTATATTTGTTTTTAGATGCACTTACATAGTTAATATAAATGAAGTATCTAATAGTTTCTTAATTAATAATTGATTTTTAAATCATCAGTAATGAATACTTTGTGCCAAAAACATATAACTTTCTAGTTTTTAAATTTATAGAAATAAAGTACTTAATTATATTCTATAAATCATTTCGCTTATTATTATTTGAGGAAAAAAATCATTATTAAATTGTATTATGAAAAAAAATGTATACTTATAATATATTATTTTTCATGTGTTTACCGCATTTAATTAATTTTTATATATTTGTAATTATAGTTACCTATGCATTGTAATATATTATAAGTAGGGCTGTGAATTTAATGCACTTAAGAACCTTTAAAAATGTCAAAAAAATGCCAAAAATTATAGTATAAAATTCATTTAAAATGGTTTTTAATTTAATTTTTATATTTATATTAACATTAGGTATAGGATATTATACATAAGTACATTACATGCATACAAAAGTGTTTATTTAATAAAAAAAAATAATAAAAATGTTTATTGAATTTGAATTTTCTATACTTAATGCTATTCACCTGACAATTTTTTTAAGAACTTTAGAAATAAATTACTTATGTAGTTATCTAGCAATAAATTGCCTTATTTTATCGACATGTACGTATACAGCCTGTGAATAAAAATAATTTTTTTTTTTCAAACATTTTCCTGTCAATTGATGGAAATTGATTAAAAATACTGGAAAATTAATTAAAAAAAGAAAAGATGACCTATATTAGCACAAAAATGACCTAAACAATCAAAAATGTCAAAAAATGCAAAATAAAAGTTACACAAATGGATTCGTAGTTACATAATAATTCTGATACTTAAAATATTAAAATTATATCAATATATATATTTAATAAATTATATAGTAGTATAATAATATAATTATATTATATCATATATTCATATTTCAAATTATGTTCTTACAGAGCTACGTTTCGTCATCAATAAAAATAAAATGCACTTTCCTACATAGGTATTCACTGACCACAGTCCTACTTAGAAATTATATTATCTTTAATACCTATGTATTAATTATTTTTTTTAATTAAATTTACTACAGTAAATACAAAGTTTTTGTTAACAATAAGTTATCAAGGTAAAAAAATACCTTTGTATCGAAAATAATATTTAAGAATAAAACTCAAATGTCTTAGATGCAAGTGATCTATTGTTTAAAATTCTATTATCTAACAAGTTTTCTTGCATCATTACTTCGAAATTTAATATAACCAAAATTCAAAAATGTATTGCCATTTTATTGTGCATATTATGGAGTGTAGCCGTGTAGGTACATTTATATTTTATACTAATTTATAATTGATACTATCACCCGTACGGCCAATGGCCATTCATACTATGATTCAATATTGAAAAAGAATGCTTTTTTTTAAAAAAATTGTAAGTATTTGACATAAACACAAATGGCAACAGATTCAGTTACTCAATAACGATCTTATTCTCTAGGTCCTTTGAAAATCGTTATAAGCGAATTCTTCTGTATTTTGTTATAACTGAAAACCGTTATTCGTGGGTAGGAACTTGAAACCTTTAAATTATACAACTACATTTATACACTCGCAATACATTTTATGATTGCAAATATGTACTCAACCTACTGTATTATTATTAGAAAAAATAATAATTACTTAACATTAAGCAATGATATCGAAAAATAGTATGTATAGTTAATAATATTATTAACGATGCTGATAAATAACTAATGCAAAAAAAAATGAGTGAAAATAATAATTTCAAGGTGAACATCAAAGATATCCAAAAATTAACTTCACCAACATTTCGATTTTTGGGGACATTGCTTGTTATAAAAAGCAAAAACTATACAACTATAACTATTTTTTTTAAGTTGTTCCTCAGGAAGCAGAGTGTGTAAGTAGGTAAAAGGTGAGTGGCATATGACGAGTTCATGCCATGAACTAGGTACTATGGTCGCACACACTAGTCGTAACTGTTCTTCGATTTCGGCAGTGGTGTGGCGGCGTTGTAGCCCTCTTTCGGCGACTATCTCGATAACAGGCATACACTCCTGTTCCTTCGTGTGTTCTGATCGCTCATAATTTCCTCAAAGTTTCAACAATTCCGTCAAATAATTCAAACGAGTAAAAAACAAACCATCGGGAACGGATTCAGACATATTACTTCCCAATTTTTTTCAATAACTCTACAAACCCTAATATTACTATATTTCAAATGACATGTATGTCTGATAATATAATATATTATTATACGTATCATTCTGGGGTGCACAAACTAAGATAGTACTATGTTAATTCATGGTGGACAGTGATTCCCCCCCCCCCCAGATGTTTGCTCTGGATCCGTGCCTGCAAACAGTGCAAACCATAGAACACACTACAGAGATTAATAAAAAATTTGGTGACTAACCGGTCTCTAATTTTTGTGACCATCTTCAGTAAACGGTTGCAATTAAAAATCCAATCCATAATTATTACCTCTCCTAATTAATGGCACATTGTGTTATCAATAATTATGTAACAAACAATTATAACATGATAATTCACAAAATACGAATTTCAGTTTTAAATAAATAAAATACTTAGGTAATAGTGGTAATAGGTACTGTAATAGGTGTGCATACAAAATTTTTTAAAATTAATTCAAATCAAAATCGGTTTTTAGACAGTTTTATAGAAGGTGAGTACAGTATAACTAATATAGTTTATTCGATATCCAGTATTCCATGGGCTTAATAAGTTAAATAACCTGGGAGGAAAATGAATCTAAAATAATAAATTCCAAATAATTTTCAAAAGCAACAGGAAAAACAAATAAAAAATTAAGGGAAAATGGGAATTTGTACGCAAAACCTGTTTCCAAATAAATCGATTTTGGTTTTTTGTGTAACTCGAACAAAAATGAACGCAGATACATGACATTTTCACTGAATATTTGTGTAAGCATTTTCGATACACCTTACAATTTTATAAATATTTTGATTTGTGTACAACTATATTTATAGGCATATGGAATTTTCAATTATTATTTATTTTTTTAAAACTAAAGTCGATAAAAAATTGTTCGCTCTGTCAAAAAACTTGTAAATTACAAGATTTCTTGTAAGTTTTTGTTAGTGGAAATTAAAAAAAAAGTTGATCGTAAATCTACAATAATATTTCATGGTCGTTTAAACATGATCATGACAAAATTCGTTAAAATCAATAAAAATTAGCTAATT